AAAAAAAAAAAAAGAAAAAATCACCTTCAAGCAGCTTGTTTTGTACTAGTATTTGTACCAATGTTTCTTTTCCATTCTGTCCCCCCACATAAACAAAGAACGAAAACTTGATATGCTAAATCTAATTGAAGTGTGTACTTGGGTGTGGTTTCTTTCATTTTCTGCTTTTCGGAAGGGGGAAAAAAAAAAAAAGACGTGAAACTAGAAATTGATTCCAAATCTATTTATGAGAATTCTTATAGATTTTAATTATAGACAGAAGGAGTATCTCCTGAATATCTAAAACATTAAGCCTTGGCTAATTAAAGCATTTCAGTATTAGGAAATAGTCTTAATATTTTTTTGAGAGTATACATGTAGAATAACTGGTGCAATAAAAATATGTTACTAGTTACTCTTAAAACAGCTACTAGTCTCAGAAGCTTAGTTGTTCATCTTCCAGATCAGATCTGGCTTTAATGTTGCTGCCTGTCTGTCTGAGATGGTAGAGAAAGAGTGATCTAAGGCATAATTCCTAAAGCTTTGTGGAATTTAAAACACTGGTTTGTGTTCATATTTTTAAAGGTGCAGTAGAAGGGTTTTTGTTGTTACTGAAAGCAATAGCAATGTAGCTTCTGCCACCTGAAGACCAGACATAAGTGCCCTGGGAACTGAGTCTTGGTAACCCACATTTTTAAGTATATATGATTTTAGTGGCAGTAGAAATACCATTGAAAAAGGTTAGAATATGTCAGTCTTCGAGAAGCATTGGACTTTTTGGAGGAATTTGAAATACACCGATGGAAGGTGGCTGCGTGCAGAAGCATCCCGAGTTTTGTCCCCGCAGCTGCAGCTTTCCGGCCACCCTCAGCTCTCGGCACCACCCTGCCCTGCAGCCAAAGGTGGGAGCCCACACAGAGTCCCCTGGAGTGTTGATCTCGGAGCACGGAGTTATGCGAGCTGATCCCGTATCTAACTATACGACTGGCTTCTCGTGTCCACAAGCAAAATGCAATAGGCAAAATTTTTTTAAAGTACTTTCTTGCATTTGCTTGAGGAAGAAGTCAAATACAAGTGTATGCCTACTGCAGGAGAAGGCTCTTTCCAACAGACGCCACTTCCTACTGCAGATCTTTTGCGCTTTCTGGATTTTTCTTTGTATCATGCAGAAAGAGGCAGCTGTATAAAACTTGTCTGTGAATAATCTATCCTGTAGGGTTTTATTTTTTATTTCTTTAAAAAACATTTGTCTTCTGAGTGTAAAACACTACCCTCTCTTCTGCAGCTTTTGCTTCCTCTTGGCGTGTTTATTTGCATGTTCCTCTCACTCCTGTGCAACCTGTCACAAAAATTACTTAGAATCATAGAATCATTATGGTTGGAAGAGACCTCAAAGATCATCAAGTCCAACCGTATACCCGATGCCACCATGCCCACTAAACCCACTAAACCATGTCTCGAAGCGCCACATCTAAGCGTTTTTTTGACTTTTAGTGCTATCCTGCTAGTTCTGAAAGCAATGTCTGGTACAGCTTTTCTTAATTATCTACTTCAGTGTTTACTGAATTTGTTTTCTGACAAAATATTAGTTAACACTCTTATTGAGGTCAAATTACTCTTGTACTATCAGCAGCGAGAGTCAGAAATCATTCTAAGTGATAGAAATGGTTCTTTATTCACTACTGCTCACAGAAGATTGGAAATGTTTGAAATTTGAAGGAGAGACAGGGCGACAACATTGTCTGAAGGTGAGACAGAGTGAGGATGACATCTCCTGAAGCCAGTCATGCAGGTCTAACCAGGACTGGTAGCAATTGCAGGTTATGAAAATGGAGGACTGTTCTGTGAATGAGCTATGGGGAAGCAGGGTCACGTTGTAAAAGTAATTTCAGTAAGCGTCAAGTCTTTTGTGACGTGGGTCATTATGAGGATCTGAGCCACAAATGAGAGGTGCACAAATGTTACTTGTGATCTGCGTTATCTGATTTTCCGTTTTCCAACTAAAGTCACTCTCTAAATTTAAGCACAGAACATCTGAAAGATAACTCAGAAGGAATGATGGTGACTGTTAGATTCTAGCTGAATTCTTGTGTTATCCTGGTGCGTTTCATCCAAAAAGTCTAACGAAAAGAGTGAGAGGGAAGGATATCTTGACACGTTAATTTGTACCGATATCATTTCTTCCTTTCAGTTGACATCTCAGCATCCCTATGCTGAAGTTTACATTGGGAAGCCCCATGTCTGGACTGTAGACATCAGTGATCTTTCTGAAGTTGAGAAGGCTGTGAAATCAATTCTGAATCAAAAGGTGAGAAATGTATCCTCAATTTGTCGTCGACACTTGAGGGTGTATTGTGTACTGCATGTAGAGTGCTTCCTAATGTTAGTCTAATTAAAGCGGATCAGTGCACTTTGGTAGGATATTGGGGGGAAAAAGTATTATTACATATCTGTGGTATCTGATTATCATGTTTTAGTACTGGATATGTCAGATTTTTACCTGAAAAAAATGAGTGTGAGTGAATTTGTCTAGAAATGTGAATGTCATATGTAAATGATATAGCAATCTATATTTTCTGTGTATTCAGTGAGGAAGTTTCCTTGTTGATTCTTAGAGCGTTACAGCCTGTCCAAATACACGCTCAACTCTTTTGACTGACTTCGTAACCTTGACATAACTGCCACTGAAGTGCTTGTGCACTTACAGTGTGGAATTGTAATGAGGGCACTTCAAGGGAAAAAAAAAAAAGTTTGAAGTAATTTTCAAAGGTATCACATTCCTTTTTGTCATAATGTTTTCTTTTTCATTTCAACTCCAGAACTGAAACTTAGCTAAAACAGGAGCTCTGCAATCCCGTAGGGTCTCAATAGCTTTATCTCTGTTACTTTGCAGTATACCCTGAGTTTCCCTAAAGATAATCGCTGAGCAACTTTTATTGCCTTTACAAAGGAGCAAAAATTAGCTTAAACTGCTGATGGTTTTGTGAAATTGTGATTTGTTAATGAGTTTATTTGCATTTATTGTAGCTACTTAAGGGATAACGTAGTATTTGGAATACAAGCCTCTACCACACAGTGCACCACAAAGTTCATTTAAATGAAAAAACCTCTAACCTGAACACACTGTGTTTCCACAGATTGACCCTTATTTGCCCTATGAATTTACATGTGAAGGAATGCTTCAGAGGATGAATGCGTTTATTGAAAGACAGGTATGAACTTTTATTGTGGATGACACTCTTGTTTTATTTTGGAAAGCAAGGACACCTCTCCATTTTAAAGCTGCTCAGTGTTGTTGCTATTCAGGTAGAAACAGCTGTGCAGTTCTTGGTCTTACAGCACAGCAGAAAGGCAAAGTAGTTTTTCAGTGTATATGTGACTTCTTTAACTGTGTACACACAAAAAAATCTTTGGATCATGAAATGTCATGTAAATACAGAGATACTTTTGTGGTGGAATTGCACCTAGGCTAAAGCCTCTGGGCAGATTTTTCAAGTATTTAGTTTCAATCAGTAAAGCTTTAAATGATTTGGAAACCAGTTACTTAAAGGACTTTTGGTCCCCATGCATTATTGCCAGCTGAGAGCAGCAGAAGATACTGTGTTGGAGTAATAAACTGCAGAGATCCTGACTTCCAGAAACTGTATGTTTGCTTGGACTTCTGCCCAAGGCCAGATCTGTTGCAGTGGCCAGCTCTGCCTTTTGTTCTGGCTGCTGCAGAAAAGAGATAGGGATAACCTGTATCTCTGATGTGCCAGTTATTAACTGCCAGAATTTCTTCTGGAAAAAGCACTGGACATGCTCATTTCTGAAAGTGGACAATATTAAAGACAGTAATAAAGAATAACACAGCTTCAGGTCAGAAGTGTAGTTAACATAACATAGTATTTCCAGTTTCCTGCCAATAAACACTTTCAGCATTTTGCTGCTGTATTGATGACATAGCCTGTAAAAGTATCTCTGCTGCTTTTCATTCTTCTACCCGAGTGAGCTATAATTGAGAGTTTTTGTCAATACAGGAAGAAATGGAGCTCAGTAGAAGGGAGAAAAAGAGACAACCTAGAGGTAGCATCTGTGGGCCAAACCTGCCTCTCCCCTCTGGACCTCCTCCAAGGGCTAAGCCCTGGCCTGTACTGCGTGCTTCTCGGAAATAAATAGAACACTGTAATTTTGTTCATTCCTTTGACTAATTGTCAAAAGCCATTATTGTTTCACAGCCCCCCCCAGGATGCTCAGGCATCATTATTCGCTGCATGTGCTTAGCACTGTGCCTGATTAACATGTCAGATGAAGCACAAATAAAGGTCAAGACCTTATTTTGAAGAGTTTGTGGCGGGAGGCAGGCAGAACAGAGAAAGCAGCACAAGCTTGGAACAGGAACAAAGATGCGTGGAGTTGATCTGGTTCAGAGGTTGTGGGGTGCGTTAACCACGAGAGTGTGGTCTTCAGGGGGAGTTTGAATGTGAAGGGGATGGGGCCAGATACGGAACAGTGAAACTATAGGATTTAAAGAAGTCCTCTGGAGTTCCCCTTTTGGGGCCTCGGCTCACAATCAGGAGGGAGGACGGTGAAGGTTTAGTGAATTCCACGAATCTTCAGATCCAACAGCTGGGCTGAAGGTCTTTAGGGTCTGAAGGAAGAGAACTACTGTGAGCTGTGGTTTCACATTTAGCAGTGCCACCTTCAGCTAGATTAAAACAGCTTTCACTCCAAGCTGCTCCTTCCTGGCAGTGCCCTGCCCCTGCCAGCCGCCCAGCGGGGCTGGTGGGTGCCTCTGTGCCGTCTGCTGAATCCATCCTTTGATCCTGTTTGCTCCGTGGCTGCGCAAACAGTTGTGTCAGCTCTGCAAAGCAGCAGCGTGTAGGGTGGGAACCAAAGGGGGGGACTGCTTAAACTGGCACTGCCATCAAAGAAGCAGCCGGGCAAGTGCAGCCGAAGCAGCTGCGGGATTCCCTGTTGCAAACTTGGGAGCTGTTGGATGCGGCAGGCTGGGCTGATGGAACAAACAGGCTGACTTTGAAAGATGCGGTCAAGCGGAGTCCTTGGTAACCCGGCAGAAAATGTTTTGGCAGGGCTCTACTAGATTAGCAAACTGGCTTGGCTCAGCAGAGGGTCAGCTGAGCACCAGAGCTGGAGCGAGGACATTCATCCAAGAGCAAGAAAAGCCAGAGGGAAGAGGACACCTCCTCGGATGGCAGGGCTAAGCCTGTCTCACCTTGAAATTGTGTTTATAGGTAAAACAAACATAAACGCAGTCTCTGGTGAAGCTTAACCTGTTTTACATAACTTCTTTATTTTACCCTTATGCATGTAGGCTTGTGGGGGAAGATAGACTGAGGTAAAGATACCAAATTTAGGTTACTTGTGATGGTTGATAGGAAAACTAGCCAGCAACAGCAAGCTGAAACACAGCCCTGTGTGCTGGTACCTGCGCAGGTGGTGTACTGAGATGTGCTTCAAGGTGGTATAAGCGGAAGAAGGCTTCCTACCAAGCTGTGGGAAATGGGAGGCTGTGTCCAGCTTTTGGGAAGAATTTTCAACTAAGAGATGTTAAAAGCTGAATCCCACAGCAAATGGTGAAGCCTCGCAAGTGATTTGCTGTCTTTGAAAAACTTTGTCTTCTGACTGCACTAGCTGTGAATCCAGTCCGATACTGCAGTATCATATTGTATATATGACATTAGTATATATTACAGTATTATATAGTATCTGTTACAGTATTGGATTGGGTTTTGAACCTGTATAGATTTCCTCCTGCATCTAGTATTTTTAATATTGATTTATAAAAGGACAGAATAAGCAGGGCCCTTAAGTCCAAATAGCAAAATGCCCTTTTTGAAACAACCTCATTAAAAAGTACCTCCAACCATCTAGTGCAACCCTACTTTTTTAGATGCTGTTAAAGTTATTCTGCTATAAATATGCTCTAAAATTACTCAATCTTTTGAATATGGCATGAGGGAATGGCTTAGAGCAGCATTAGGGGAAGTTCAGAATGGATATGGGGGAAAAGTTCTTCACTGAGAGGATGGTCAAGCACTGGAACAAGCTCCTCAGGGAAGTGGTCAGGGCCCCAAGCCTGTCAGTGTTCAAGGAGCATTTGGACAACGCTCTTAGATGCATGGTTTAGCTTTACGTTGCCCTGTGTGGAGTCAGGAGTTGGACTCTCTGATCTTGTTGGGTCCCTTCCAACTCTGGATATTCTGTGATTCATCATTGTATAATATTAAATTTACGGTTAGACCTGAGATTATGAAAACTTCCTCCTTCAGGAGAGGAAATCTAAACAGAGAAAAAAAAACCCAAGTATTAGTTTTGTCAGAAGAAAGCAAACCATGATGGACTGTGCCCAAATTTTTTGATCACCTTTTGGTGAGAGTTGCAAAATGTTAAAATAATGGTTGAGTATCATGGAACGTTATATAAAACCAGTGATTAAAGTTTTCTCTTTGCTTGTTCTGATTTTAAATGTCAAGACCATAAGAACTTGGCTTTGAATAGTTTTGCCTGGCAGGTGTGTTTAGTAACCATTTCTTCCTTCTCTCTTTCTGCTGTGGTGGCACTTGACTGCACGCGTTATTTATAGCCAATTTTTTTCAGTTTTGGGCGAGCACTTTTACTAGCAGTTCAACCAAGAGGAGCAAACAAACGCTTTGATTCCTAGTTGCTTTATAGAAATCTTCAGTCTTGTATGAGTTCAGCTCCCTCCAGATCACTGCAAGTCCCCTGACCCTTTCCACATGGCTCTCCACATGGGCCACTTGAGACATTCCTCACCTACAGGGTAACTGGCCTCTGGAATTCTTCTCCTACCAGAACTTCCTCCTGATATTTGTGCCGTTACAAAAATAGTTTTGCTGTCACTGAGTTAGTGAAAGAGGAGTCCCTGAGAAAGCCAAAATGAGTTGAGTATGTGGAAGTAAAGGGACTAGCTAGAGTTGGTTATGACAAATTAAAGAAGGTTAAAGATAGGGAAGAAGCTTCTTTGGGAAGAATGATACTACCACATTTCAAGTAGCAATCAAAGGTGGTAATTCCTTCATGCTAAAAAAAAATAAAATAAATTTTTAAATTTGCTTAAATTACTGATTTTAATATGACCAAAATGAGCTGCAAAATGAGTGTTTGGGTGATAATGACCACTTATTTTACTAATGGGGAAGACTTCTGTCAAGGGACTGGATGCATCATAATAACAAATGATCTGTCACTGCAGGACTTCTGTCACGGGCAAGTGATGTGGCCTCCATTAAGTGCCCTTCAAGTAAAAATTGCTGAACCTGGAAAATCCTGTAAACAAGTTTGTCAGGAAAGCCAGCTCATCTGTGAGCCTTCCTTCTTCCAGCATCTTAACAAGGACAAAGCTCTGCTTAGGTAAGTACTTAAAAGCACAAACATGTTATTTGGTCTGTTTTTATTGCACTGGTTTTTGCCACACGTGAAGTTTAGTGTACGAATTCTGTGAGAAGGGAAGGTGGGGAGAGAAGTGCTGGCTGGCTGCAGCAAGCTGTGAGGTTAGCTGTCAGTCTTTCGTAGCAGTGGATGGTAGAAGTCACTGCTGTGCTGAGAGCGCCATTCCACATAGCAGGCGGTTTTGCAGTGAGGAGTACAGCACCGAGGCCAAAAATTTACGTCTCTTCCTTCCCTCCTCCATCTCCTATGTGTGTGCACTGTACAGTGCCCTTTGATGTTGGGTTGCTTGCACTGAGCAAAGATGCTTGTGCTGCAGGGGTCGCAGATGCCAGGACTGTAGTTGTGTTTGGACGGACCCTTTGCAGCCCCAGCTGAGGAGGTGCACTAATCAGAGAATCACAAAATGGTTTGGGTTGGCAGGGACCTTAAAGCCCATCCAGTTCCAACCCCCTGCCATGGGCAGGGACACCTCCCACCAGACCGGGTTGCTCAAAGCCCCATCCAACCTGGCCTTGAACACTTCCAGGGATGGGGCATCCACAGCTTCTCTGGGCAACCTGTGCCACTGCCTCACCACCCTCACAGGGAAGAATTTCTTCCTGATATCGAATCTACATCTTCCCTCTTCCAGTTTTTCCATAGCTTTTGCCATAACCTTCTGAGAGTTAGTGAACTTGTGTGACTCTTAACGCTAATGCGAACTGTGCTCAGTCAGCTGGGTCGGAAACCAAATGCATTTTGTTGCAGTAAATAGAACTCTGTATACATTGTGTGATTTCTATCGGTTGTTCACATTTCAAATACGGCACTTATAAAGTGGTGCTTTTATTTATTGAGCTCCTTCTTTGGTCACGATTAACACGCATATTGAAACGTCTGCAGTCATTGGCAATTGGCAATTAGCAATTACTCTTTCTGCAAACCTTTTGTTGGTATTGTCCTAGGTAAGGAATTGTAAACCCTTGTACATTAGAGGTATTAGTACCAATTTAAAAAGCTTACCAGCTATGCATGAAGGAAATTAATGTTGCTTTCAGGTGCTGTCTCTTTGGGAATACGTCTGTGTTCCTTTCAGAATGAAAACAAAGCGCTCAAAGCTGGGCTCCAACAAATGGCTGCTAAGGAGTCTGCTTTCTAGGGTTTTTATCTCCACTTTTTGCTAAATTAAGTCGTAGAAGGTTTTTATTTTTGTATTTTGTTTGAAAAGTTGTAATTCCCAGTGGAGTTCAGACGAAGCTTATATAAAAACTTTTACAGACTTCTCTTCTAGCCGTCTAGACAAAATTATAATTCTGTGGGAAAAAAAAAAAAATCTGTTAAATGCTGAAAGCTACCAGTGTTTCCAGAATAAGTGAAAAACCAGCCTCTGCTGGCACTGCTGCCCTTGTGCTTAAGGTTTGTGGTCAGAAAATGGCAACTGGAATTTTTCTTTTTTCAGCTGCCTAGCGCTAACTGGTTCCTTGGAGCCCTGGGTCCTCCTCTGACCAGTTTCCGCTGTAACACAGCAGCATCGCCTCGTCCTCCCAGTTTGGCTGGCCGCACCTCCAGCGGGTGGCTTGCCTGGGGGAGATCCCTGCTGAAATCAATGAGAGTATCTCCTGATTTCAGATTCTTTGGTTCTATCTTACTAGGAGTCCTTGGTGTATTTAAATATTGTGCTTTGGGGAACAGTCAGAAGCATTTTTTTTTCCTTTTTAACTTCTTTCATTAATCTTTAGGAAACAAGAGTAAAGCTGAAAAGGCTGTACTGCCCTCTGCAGAGAGAATTGCACAGGTGGAAAGAAATGAGAGTCATGTTCTGGAAATCTGCAATTCTAAATATACTTGATTTAGGATGTAATGTAGCATTTTATTTTATTTTTAGCCAGGAAGGATGAAAAGCGTACCGAGCTCCTGTAAACTCCCCTGTGATTTAGATCATGTGCTTTGCTTTTTAGGCATAATATCGAATGTCTCACCATGGAGTCTGCAAATGATATTCTGGTCCCCTCTTTTGATGGAAGAAGGAAGCACTGTGTTTTCCAAGGTGACCTCTTACTGTTCAGCTGTGCCGGATCCCACCCAACCCACAGAAGAATCTGCCCCTGCAGAGACTATATTAAGGGGCAGGTTGCGCTTTGTAAAGACTGCCTATAGCAGCAGCAGAGCTTCTTTTGAGTTGAGGACAAAATGTAAGTAGTTTTGAGAGGAGCTACTTATTACTTCCTGCACTTTTGTCCAGGTTTTTCGCTGCAGGCAGAGCTATCATTGCTGGGCAGAATTATCTACTAAGAGAGGAGGGATTCATAACAAACGGCTAACTGATCTTTTTTTCCTATAAGAACATTTGCAGTTTAACTCTTCAGATTCCTTCATCTGTTTGCGAAGAGAAATGAGTTTCATGTTCTACAGTGATTTGAAGATGACTGCACAGAATAGTTTGTAGAAAATTCCCAGACCCATCAAACTTCTTTTTTTGTTGTTTGGGTGAAGTTTTTTCTATTTTTTTAATGAGTTAGGACATCCCCCATCATGGTTAGCTAAAAGAGCTCCACTTCCTTCCAGTAGAAAATTGAGGGGGGGGGGGGAGGGGGCTTTCGGGGGGGGGGGGGGAAGTGTGCTTGAGGGAGAGGGGTGTCAGGGAGGGAAGACTAACATTTTATTCTAGATGCACTGTTTTGGGTACTGCTTTAGCTTGAATGGCTATAAAGTGGTTTACTTCACAAAAACTCGGAATCACAAGATAGCTCTGTACCCTGTTATTGGGTTATCTGGGCCCAGTTCTTTTTTTCTTTTTTTTCTTTTTCTTTTTCTTTTTTTTCTTTGCTTTGTATACGACCAGGTATTGTCTGCATCACAGCTGCTGCATCAGAGCAGTGTAAACAGAGAGTATCATGAATGAGCAAATAGGCAGTTGTCAGCGTGGGACACATCTTGGTGACTCGACAACTGGCTAGGGTTGTGGCATTCTTCAGTGTGGAAAAGCTACAAAAACATACTGCCATTTTTGGAATGGACTTGTCACAGTTTACCGGTCCCATTTAGAGAGTAATCCTTGGAATTTGCCCATGCTTCTGTTGTAGTCTGTCTACTAGAAATACTGTGTGAAGCAAAAAGTATTCAGCATCATTGGAGCAATATTATCGTTAGAGCCTCAGTTTGCTACAGCTTCCAGTAGTTAAAAGTGTGGCTGAATGACATAGAAAGGTTAAACTAAGCTAACTATAATTATTGTACGGTAGAAATGTAAAATGTCTTCATAACTAGCTAGGTTTTTAAAGAGGAGTTTTTTCTGAAGAACAAGAGGCGACAACTGCTAAGAAAAGCATTGATCAATCTCGTGGGTTCTTTGATTGGTTTTCTGGGTTTTTTTGCGGGGGGAGTGTCTTCGGTTTTGGTCTTTTCTTTTTTTCTTTTTTCTTTTTTTTTTTCCCTTTTTTTTAAGCAGGCACACCAGTTGCAAATGTAGACTAAAACAATTCAAGAGTTTGGAATTCAAATCAAACTTCATTTTTTTTACAGCAGCAAGTGAAATCTTCTAAACTGCCTTCTTTTTATAGAGATCATTTTGGTTATTTTCGGCAGAAGGTGGCATGCTTGACAGCACCATTTGTAGTCAGGAAATGATACGCTAAGATTAGTGAGAAACAAATCTGCAGTGTATTTTTAAAGCAGTCATAGTCTGCAGGTTTACAATTTGGACGTGCTTTGACCATACTGGGGGGAAAAAAAAAAATCAAACCAACATGAAGGGGTTTTTCATAAAGATTAACAAACATACCAGGTAATAATGAAAAGCATAGATAATTTAAATTTTCCTTTCTTGGCTATATCTGGTTGGTTCAGATTTTTCTTGTAACCGGCATTCATTATCTGTGTGTGAATATTGAAGTATCTCTTGACCTACCAAAGACCAAGCAAGGGAAATGCTATTTCATCCTGGATAAATTCTCACGACAAGAGAACAGAACAGTGTACATTTAAAGTTTCAATTTAAAAGCAATGAATTAGCTTTTTCAAGTTTTTCATTTCCTGCCTCAGCACTCCTGTCCGTGTTACCCTGTAACACTCCGTAACATTGCTGTGGACTACACGGGAACTTAATCCTGAGAGATTGTTGAGTATCCAGAACGGATACGTGGGAGCTGTTGAACAGCAGGGTCACCAGTAACTGGGTTGTGATGATGATAACATCTGCTGTACTTTAATTTTCCAGGAACAGAACAGCTGGGTTCTCTAATGGGAGGCAAACTTTTTGTATGAAAAGAAAACAAAACACAAACTAGTATGAAAATCCTTACTCTTAGATAGCTCAGCATTTGCTTCAGTCAGCACAAATGTAGTTTGCAATAGTTTTAATACCCTGGAAAAGCTCGGGGGGTGGATTGGAAATGGGTCTTTATATTTATATAAAATATTCCCCGCATACCTGTGCATATTTGTGCAACTGGAAAATCCTGCATATCAAAGAATATATACTTCTACCTGGTGCTGAAAGTAAAGGCAACAGCAGAACTTGTCTTTACCAATTCAGCCTGAGGTTCTTCAGGCAGGAATTTAGTTTGGAATGAGATAGCACAGAATTACGTCGGAAACAAAGATTTGTATGTGTGCACTTAAAGAATGCAAAACACATAGTTTTTGCTGTAGTGTAATTCTTTGCTGTAAATACCTATTTGCTTGTTCTGCCCCCACTGTACGGTCCACATGGCATACTGTATTTTAGTTTGCCTTTAAACCTTTAAAGATGGGGGGGGTTTGGTATTTGTTATTTTAATATTTTCTGGTCTAGTGCTTTGCTCAATGCTAAGTTTGCCTTTACCACAGCAGGGAGAGTCTGTTATAAGCTCTGGTTTTTTCATGCTGTAGCACTGTTTCTTTCTAGTCTACTGAACTGAATTACTGCGTATTGGCAAAAATGAAACGGGAAACACCAATGCCGCTTGCGTCTCAGCCAAGGACTGAACGTCTAAATTGGCTTCAGAATCAGTTGGGTCTCATCCTATTTCCACTGAAATCTATAGAGAAGACTCATTAATCTTAAAGAAAAAAGAATCAAGGCCTATAATTTGTTAGGCCTCTATTACTCATTTTAAACTCTCTTTTCAGAAGAAATACTGCTTTTCTGAAATACAGCTTCAGTCTAAATTTCTGTAAAAGGCGACTATCGTATGAGAACTGTAAGGGCGTAAACTTTGTAAACATTACCGACAAAACCCGATATAGCACTCCCCCGTCACACCGCAGTGTTTGTTCGTGCATTGATCAAGAAGTGAATCCTGCAGATAAGCACTCAGGCAAATCCATGTGGGACTATTTAAAAGTTTGAATGATTTACTAAAACGTATAATATATATCCGTGCTTCAGGATAGCGGGCAGCCTTCTGTCCAAGTTCCGTAACTGTTTTCCTTCCTAATTAAAGGTGTAGTCCAATTCTTGCACTTAAACAAGGACATCAGAGGTGGGGCTGTGCTACTGTTTTTCAGTCCGACAGTAAAGCTTGCAGCTTCCTTTGCTCAGAAATCAGGTTTTTGCATGACTTGCATTTGAATATATTGATCAGCAATTGATGGGAAAAAATGTCAAAAGTTGAATAGAAAAACATTTTACAAGCTTTTAAACATATCTCTAATATCAAGACATTCTTTGTTTTAAATTTTGTATTTTTGTATGTGACCTAGTTTTTTTCAAAAATCTTGTTCCTACGAGATTAGAAAACTTGAGAGAAGCATTTACATATTTATTAAAATTAACATAAAAGGTTTGCCTTTGAAAGGTAAAGTTGGTAAATACACACTGTTTAAAAATGCCAATAAAAACCTCATTTATTTCATATATGCAAGTTGATTTGCACATGTATAAATAGAGTTGCTTTTTGCATTTTTTGCGTAGTTTCTATGTTTCTTTTTGTAATTTATAGTTGGCAGCTGTGTGTTTGCTTGTTTATATCAGATTATGTTTCTCCTACAAATATTTAATGTTTATGTGCCTTTTTTTTTTTAACTTTCTTTCGCTTTTGGATGAGTGTTTGGAATGTGGACACTGTCTGAACAAGTATAATGGAACACTAATTATAGGTAAAAATAGGGGTTGATGACTCTACAACTTAGAGGTATGAATTTTGAATGTTTTTAAGTAGTGGCGAAATCTGTTCTAAAACTAAGGTAAGGGTTAATAAGATAAAAGATACTATAACTTTAATAATTCTTGCAAAATGTTGCTTCTGCAAGCAGAGTGCCCTTTACTGAGTATCTGTAATTTGATGTGAGAGCTCCTGCTGGGATGGGATCTCTGTTCAATGCCCAGAAAGCAAACTAAAGCCGTTAGAAGCCCCAAGCAGAGAATGCCAACAGAAAACCGCTAGAAACAGCCGTATCTGATTCGATCAAGGAAAATCGAAGATCCACGTTAAAGTTTGTGAGGAGTTGGTTTTTTGGTTAAAGACATCTGTACATGGAAGTGCACGGGGCGATTCCTGGTTGCTACCAGGAGAATACAGTCCTTTTATGATACCTGAATTACAACGCCGGTGGGGAGGGAACTCTGGATATTCAGCTTATTGCAAATGTTTTTCTTTTTCACGCTACTACTTGTCTGCAAGAAGAGTGTTTTGCAAAGTAGCTGCTGATCAGGTTTCAGATGGAAACGGCAGAACGGGGTTGCGGACAGAGCCAGGGCTCTGTGTCTTCCCTGCTCAGCTCCGCTCCCAACTACTTTTGTTGACTTTTGCAACCGGCTTATTGACAAGCATCCAGACTTGCTGGAAGTTTCTGTTGATATCAGCCATAAATCAGGTTGTTAGCCCATGTCTTCTCCTCTCGCTTAATCATGTTGTGCTACAATCCTTTAAAATCCCAGTCAGCATCCTTGCTTTATCCTTGATATGAAAGACATGCCCTCCCCCCTCGAAAATGAGCAGCCCATCTAAATTACAAAGATGATTTACGAGTTTGCAGCACTTTTCACATAAGCAAAATCCAAATTGCTTTCTCAGGTATGTATTTTTGCTCGTAGTGCATTTCAGGACCAGATTTTGCTAGTAAAATAAATTAAATGGGACGAATCAGGCTGGATACCATCTCATCCAAGTCTAATTAACTTCACGACTCCCACTGGCTTCAGTGATAGCAGAACTCCTCCATTAATTTTTCTTCAA